TCCTTGCTCTGTATTCTTTCCAACACTTGGTGTTCCCAGTCTTTTTAAAATTAGCCATTCTGGTTGGTGTGTAATAATACTTTATTGTGATTTTAATTTACAATGCTCTGGTGACTATTGAAGTTCAGCATTTTTTCATATATTAATTGGCCTTTTTGATACCCTCTTTTTAAAGTGCTTGTTCAATTTCCTTGATGAATTTCCTATTGGACTGTCTTCATTCTGATGAATTTTTAGAAGTTCATTATATATTCTGAATATCAACCTTTTGTTGATTATATGGATTGAAAATATTTTCTCCCACTCTTACTTGCTTCTTTTCTTTCTTAATAGCATTTTTTTCAAGAACAGAAGTTCCTAATTTTAATATAGTCTAATTAATGAATCTTTTATTTTATGTTTAGGGTTTTGGGTATCCTGTTTAAAACACTTTTTCCTGTCTCAAGGCTATAAAAATGCTGTCCTATGTTATCTTCTAAAAACTTTAATTCTTTATTTTTCATATGTAGATCCACAGTCTACCTGCAATTAATTTTTTTTGTGTGTATCGAGAGGGGACTTCAGATCCCTTTTTCTATAGAAATATCCAGTTGACTCTGCACCATTTATTTCAGCCCTATACATTCTTTTGGATTTTCTGTATTCACAATCAAAATAATGACAGTTTGATTTCTTACTTTAAAATCTTTATACTTTTTTTTTTTCCTTTCTTGCCTTACTGTACTGATTTGGACTTCCAATAAATGTTGAGCACAAGTGGTGTTGCCAACATCCTTGTCTAATTCTCCATCGCAAAGGGAAATCTTCCTGTATTTCTCCACAATGTGTGATATTTGCTGTAGATATTTTTAAAATTCCTTTTATAAGTTGAAAGAATTTCCCTCCTATTCCTGGATGGCTAATTTTTTTCTAGATATTGAAATTTATCAAATGTTTTTCCTGCCTTCAGTGAAATGATCATGTAATTTTTCTCTTTTTCTCTGTTAATATCTTGATTTTAAATTGTTAAACCAACCTTGCATTCTTGGAATAAACCTCACTTGGTCATTAGACTTGGTTTGTTAATATTTCATTTAGACTGATTGCTTTATGTTCATAATAGAAATTAGTCTATAATTTTCCTTTCTTATGCTTACAAATTTTGGTATCAAGAGTATGCTGACCTCATAAAACAAATTGAGAAGTGTTCTTAATTTAAGTTTTTATATTTTTCAGTTCTTGAATTTCCATCTGATTCTTTGTTATAGTTTCCAGCTCTCTTGTGAAAGTGATTTATTGAGAGAGTATTCTCAGGAGAAGGGGAGTCAGGGAAGCAGGCGGGGGGAGGGGCAGAAAGCTGAGCAAGAAGGTAACCTCAGCGTGGGATGAGCTTCAGCCAGATCTCACAGGGGGCTTAGAACTGGAACTGCACCACTGTATAGGTTCTCCCTGTATGAATCAGTCATCAGCTGGCTGCCTTTTAGGAGAGAAAGGGAAAGGACTGGGTGGAGGGGTGACAGCAACTTCGCAGATGAGACAGGAGGCTACAGTTCAGCCAAGGGAATTGTTAGCAGCCCATGCCTACGACAGGTGGAGGAGGGATACACAAGCCTGGGGAAGGGGATTGGGTAGAATTATCAGAGCATCTACTATAGTCCACCTCTTGTACCACCAGATCCATATCATTCTCACATTAAGTTCACTTTATTCAGGCATATAGCTCCTCCTGTGACTCTGGCTGGTTATAATTTGTGCATAGTGAGATAAACTACAGCCCTTGATGCTACAATTGGTCCCAAGGCCACCAATTTTAGATTCTCCTCAGCCAGCACTTCTGCTGTCCAGGTGGTTTACCTGGTGGAGTGAGCCCCTGGTTACCATGCCCTTAGCAGGAAGTGATTTCTGTATTTCCCATTTACTGTTAAAACTGGTCATGAGCATATCAAGAGACACGTGAGTTACAAACATACCCCTCACTGCCTCCATTACACAATAGCAATGTTACCTCTTTATGATGATAAAGGTCAGTTACTTGTGCCAGCACAGGAACTCCAAAGTGACCAAATAGCAGCCGAAGTTTTAAGTTTAATGGGGACTCTTCCTGGGTCTCTTGGTAGAAGCATTCCCCTTCTGGGACCTAGGACCTATAGACTCACTGAGACCCACAGGAAGCACAAATCCTCCAAGTGGGTCAACAAAGGTGATGGAGAGTGGATCCATTCCTACTTCCTTCCTCCCTTCCCCTGACCCATGTATTCTACCTGTTGGAAACACAGCATCACATAACAGCCATTGGTTTAAAGTACATGCTACATCCTGAAGAATGCCACCACATCCTCACAGGATATCATCTCCAAACTGGTGCCTCAGCTGTGCCTTCAAGAGGCCATCCCACAGCTCTGTCAGGCTAGCATCCTCTGGATGGTGCTGTGTGTGGTAGGACCAATGGATACCATGAACCCATTCCCATACAAACTTTGTTGCACAGTAAGATTCTTTACTATAAAGCAGGGCCCCATGTCAGTAGAATAGTCACTCTGTGAACTCTTCAGTAATAGTGTTAGCCAAGGTCTCACAGGCAGCAAAGGCAAATCCATACTTAGAATCTGCATTGGTCCTTTCCAAGGTAGTGTTGTTGTTGTCATGTGCTGTCGAGTCGGACCCGACTCATAGCGACCCCTCCTCGGGTTTCCGAGGCAGTATCACTACGGAAGTAGATTGCCCCATCTTCCTTCTGAGGAGTGGCTGGTGTAAGGGGTATGAAATCATCAGATTGCTGACAAGAGGCTGGTTGTTCTCCTTAAGGAATGGTGCCATATTAGAAGTTCAGCTTTCATCTTTATTGTAAGCAGATCAAACATTCAACAGCAACAGTAGCTAGATTACCCTTGGTGAAAGGGGCCCATGCATCATTTTCACTGGAGTGGTCAAACACAGAGGCTGGATGACACCCTCTGATCAAGTAAGTCATCCTATTTACTTGCTTAGATGTTTTGACTCTTGAGCTCAGTAGCATGACAGGAGTTGTTTTGCATATAGTGTTGTTTGCTGCTACAGATGGCATGCTTTTGCTTCAGAATCATAAGGGTCTGTAATACAATTTTCCCATTGTCAGAAGCGCCACAGGTATTTTTCTCTACCAGAGACTCTTCTAGAATGAGATTTCCAGGCCATTTGGCCCAAGTATCAGTACTGTTTGAACCCCATCCTGACCCTGCTACAGAGTCTTTTCTTTCTCTGAGTCCTTCTCAAAAACCAGATTTTGTATCACTTGATAAATGGGTCAGGTCAATATGTTCAAGTGTATACTGATCAAAACCTGAAGAAATACACTAAGTAAGCATTGTGCTTCTTTCATTGTGATATAAGATGTAAGATGCACTAATTTGTGCTTTACTCAGGAGAGGATGTCCTGACATGCCTCATACCACTGCTCCCATAAAAATTTCACCAATGTGTCAACTGCTTGAACATTTATAGGGTTTATTCTCTCACCCTGAAGAATGTGTGTCTTTCCAAGGCTTCTATATACTTGCCAATTCTTGCTTATCAGGTCTTTTTAACCATGTTAGTGTTAATACATGATGTCCAGATAGTTCAGGTCCCTTCAGAAGTTACTGTGACAGTAGAATGAACATAACATTGGGGTAAGACTGTGGGTGTATACTCTTGTCCATCCATGTGAGTACTAACTGCTTCTGATCTTCCTTGTTTTGTGGTATTTAAAAAGACTGTATTTGCTAGATTGGTAACCTCATACCATGTACCCAAGGTTGTAATAGTCTCCTCTACTAAAGATACTTTATCTGGCACAGCAGCTATAGCTAGGGCTACTACTTGGCTGGGTATACATTAACCTATTACCATCTGTCATGATCCATACCATTTTTTGGCAGAGGCCAGACTAGTGAACTAAATCCCCTTACAACAAGTTTCTCCTGTTTAGACTGTTGACTCTTCAAACTCTTTACAGAGTTCCATTCTACCTATCAAAACAAAATTGAAGATAAGATCAGAGACCCCAGAACTAGAAAGTTAAAAAATTTCCTCAACTTATTATTATTATTATTACTTTTATTGTGGTGAAAACATACACACCAAGACATTCACCAACATAACAACTTCCACATTTACAGCTCAGGGACATTGATGACATTTTTCATTCCCCTAGTTATTTTTTAAAAGTTACTTAAAACTTTTATTTTTTTAATGAAGCACTGCAGAATTAACTAATATTTGCCTGTCATTCCTCAGCCACAGGTGTTTTTGTTTGTTTGTTTTTGTAAATAAACCCAAAACAGGTCACAATAGTTAATAAATAGTACATCCTATTAGTATGATGTCGTTAGGTGCTCCAACTCATAGCAACCCTGTATGCAGCAGAACAAAACACTGCCCAGTCCTGTGCCAGCCTCACAATCTTTGCTATACCTGGGCACAACCTTGCAGCCAATGTGTCAATCCATCTCATGTGGGGCATCATCACTGTGTTCGGAACCAGACACACAAGACACATCCCACCATTAGGACCTCCCTACTAAGAACCACTTTTACCCCTGCTACACATCATGCTAATTCTGAGCGTCAGCACCCTTGTTAATCCAAGCCTTAATTTTTTCTTTTTTGCCCCCTATATAAACCTGCTTTGCCCAATTCTATTATAATCTTTCCTTTACCCTTTTGGAGCTATCTGTTTTCAGATAAAAATCATGGGCTTTGCAAATTAGTAGACTATGTTTTAGGTAGGTTCCATGGTAATTACATTTTCCTTGCATTTGCAGTTGGACACTGTATTGATTACTCTAGTTTTTTAATGTAACCATGCTGTGAGGTTTTAGTTCCTTGGGGATTTCATTAGCATTGACTGCATTACATTGGTAGAGGGGGGTCAGTTCAAGATTTATTGTTTCATTAAGAGTTGTAGTGTTTGACAATATGTCAGGGAAGAAGCGTGCCTGGAAATATGAAGATTATAAAAGGTTCTGTATCCCTTGTCTAAATTTGCTTCTTTCTCTCTTTAGTCTCCACCAGATATGTCCATTCCAGCTTCTTTGGCTGCTCAACATTTCCTTCTAGAGGAAGAGAAGCGAGCAAAGGAACTAGAAAAGCTTCTAAATGCACACATTGATGAGCTGCAAAGACATACAGAATTTACTCTTAATAAATACACCAAGCTAAAACAAAATAGACACATATAGCTTTTAAACTTTTTTTATTTGCTTCTCCCATCCCAAGAAAAAAAGCTCTGACAAAATATTTACAAAACTGGTTAATGAAACAGAAATTTTGTCTTGTTTTCTTGAGTCAATCATTTATGTAAGGCAACTATAAAATAGTATTTTGTTCGACAAAGCTGTTTGCATTTTTGCATTACCATACTAAATTGTTCTGCTATAAAGTTACAATGAAATAAACATGACAACTGCAAAACAGCTTTTTTAAGGAGTATTTTGGAATTAAATATGTCATTTTTCCCCCTGAATCATGTGTGCTAAAAGCCCATTTCCTCTGTAACAACACAAATGAGTGAAAGTGCTATCTTCAAACATAAATGAATCAAGTGCAGCTCAGTTGTACAAGGTTTGAAGACTCAAGATTCTTAAAAATGAAAAATATCATTAAGTATTTTGGGCAAAAAAAATTTGAAAATTACTTAAAAAAAAAAGGTTACAGCTTTATTGTTTCTACATTTATGTTTCTAATGTCTCGTTGTTTTTAACTTAATAATGGACATGAATGTGCTGTTTACACCCTTGAAATATGTGCACCAAAGATTAATGCTTTGCTGTTAGTACTAATTAATACATGGACATGAACAAGATAAAGACAATATAAAGTATTATTTTTGCTACCTTCTCCTTTATAATCATCTCTGTTATTACAATAAAGGGCATGTAAAATGTATGGACTTAAAATATCAATGCCAAATCTGTATAAAATAGTAGTGAACAATAAAATTCAGTTTACAAATGTACACCATGAGATTTCAATATTATTTCTTTAAAAATAATCTTTGGATAAGAGTTTCCATTTTGAAGAAAAAAATATGTTGTTGTTAGGTGCTGTTGAGTCATTTCTGACTCATAGCAACCCCATGCACAGCAGAATGAAATACTGCCCGATCCCGCACCAGGTCCACCACGATCCCTGCTATACTTGAGCCCATCATCGCAGCCACTGTGTCAGTCCATCTCGTTGAAGGCCTCCCCCTCTTTCGTCGACCCTCCACCCTACCAAGCATGACATCCTTCTCCAGGGAATGGTCCCTTCTTACAACATGACCAAAATAGGTGAGACGAAGTCTGGCCATTCTTGCTTCCAAGGAGCATTCTGGCTGCACTTCCTCCAGGACAGATCTGTTAGTTCTTTTACCAGTCCATGGTACTTTCAGCATTCTTCGCCAGCACCACAACTCAAAAGCATCAGCTCTTCTTCGGTCTTCCTTATTCATGCATGTCCAGCTCTCACATGCTTACGAGGCAATTGGAAATATCACAGCTTGTGTCAGGCACACCTTAGTCCTCAAGAAGACATCCTTGCTCCTCAGCACTTGAAACAGTTCCCTCGCGGTTGACTTTCCCAGTGCTACACATCATCTAATGTCCTGACTGCTGCTTCCATTGGCATTGATTGTAGAAACAAGCAACGTGAATTCTTTGACAACCTCAATCTTCTCTCCATTTATTGTGATGCTGCTCATTGGTCCAGTTGTGAGGACTTTTGTTTTCTTTATATTGAGATGTAATCCATACTGCAGACTGTATTCTTCAACCTTCATCAGTAAGTGCCTCAAGTCATCCTCACTTTCAGCAAGCAAAGTTGTATCATCTGCATATCTCAGGTTGTTAATGATTCTTCCTCCAATCCTGATGCCACGTTTGTCTTCACATAGTCCAGCTTCTCGGATTATTTGCTCAGCATATAGATTGAATAAGTGTGGAGACAGAATACAACCCTGGCGCACTCCCTTCCTGCAGTGTCCCCTTGTTCCGTTTGAATGACAGCCTCCTGGTCAAGGTACAGGTTCCTCATGAGTACAATCAAGTGTTCAGGAATTCCCATTCTTCTCAATGTTACCATAATTTGTCATGATCCACACAATCAAATGCCTTTGCATAGTCAATAAAACACAAGTAAGCATCTTTCTGGTATTCTTTGCCTTGAGCCAACATCCATCTGACAACAGCTATGATATCCCTTGTTCCACGTCCTCTTCTGAATCCAGCTTGCACCTCTGGAAATTCTCTGTCAATATACTGCTGCAAACATTTCTGAATTATCTTCAATAAGATCTTACTTGCGTGTGATATTAATGATATTGTTCTATAATTTCCACAATCTGTGGGATCACCTTTCTTTGGAATGGGTACAAATATGGATCTCTTCCAATCAGTTGGCCAGGTAGCTGTCTTCCAAATCTCTTGGCATAACCAAGTGAGTGCCTCCAATGGGGCATCTGTTTGTTGAAATATCTCAATCAGTATTCTGTCAATTCTTGGAGCCTTGTTTTTCGCCAATTCCTTCATTGCAGCTTTGACTTCCTCCTTCAGTACCATTGATTCTGGATCATATGCCACTTCCTGAAATGGATGAAGATCAACCAGTTCCTTTTGGTACAGTGATTCTGTGTATTCCTGCCATCTTCTCTTGATGTTTCCTGCATCATTCAATATTTTGCCCATAGAATCTCTCAATATTGCAACTCGAGGCTTAATTTTTTTCTTCAATTCTTTCAGCTTGAGAAATGCTGAGCGCATTCTTCCCTTTTGGTTTTCAAACTCCAGATCTTTGCACATTTCATTATAGTAATTGGTTTTGTCTGCTCGAGCTGCTCTTTGAAATCTTCTGTTCAGCTCCTTTATCTTATCATTTATTCCATTGGCTTTAGCTTCTCTCCACCCAAGGGCAAGTTTCAGAGACTCTTCTGTCATCCATTTTGGTCTTCTTTTCTCATCATTTTAGTGATCTCTTGCTTTCTTCATGGATAATGTTCTTGATATCTTCCCACAATTGTAGAAGGATGTTTAGGAATCTGGAAAGAGGAGGAGTGAGCCACAGGGACCCAGGTAAGGGTGGTAGGAGAGGTTTCCAACAGGGAGACAAACTTGTCTGTCGGTTTGTCCTAATGTAGTGACGTGTTGATGTGAGTTTTGAGGCTGAGCCACTGGTGTTTCAAACCCAGCAGGATATACATGGTGCACAGGTATCAGCCCATCTTATAAACTGAGACAACTAGGAAGAAGGAGGAGGCTGTCCACTTATCAAAGAATTGGCCAGGGAAAACCTTATGAATAGCAAAGAAAAAAATATATACAACTTTGAAAAATTCCTATGTGCTTATTTAATGTAAATCATATAGCTTTTATAGTTATCTTTTTCTCTTTTTAAAAAAACTAAATCTCACTCTACTGAAGATAAATCAAGATGTCTTTAGATAACAAGTATCATTTTCATGTGAAAAATGCATAGCACTGTTCACTTTAGCTGATGGTACCAAATGTTATGTGTAGCCCTTCATATTTCAACAAGCCTTCACATAGCATTATTCATTTATGACCAAAACATGTCTGCAAAGTAAGCAGAGCTAGTATCCTTGTGCCTGGGATATGAGAAGCAACTTCTCACAATCATCATAAACAAAAACATCAGAAAAGGAACCCCTGGCCTTCCAATTCCTGGCTCTAGCTCTTACTACCTCCCAGAATCACCTCTTGTCAGCAAGCAGATGGAGAACAGTGCTGAATCCACTGAACCCATGTTTGACGACAAAACATCACAAATGTATGAAGCCTTTACTGTCCCCACAAAAGCCCCACATGAGGAAAATAATAAGTGCTAAGGAGCCCTCGTGGCACAGTGGTTAAGATCTCAGCTGCAAACCAGAAAGTTGGCTGTTCAAACCCACTAGCTGCTCCATGGGAGAAAGATGTGGCAGTCTGCTTCCTTAAAGATTGTTGTTGTTATGTGCCGTTGAGCCGGACCCAACTCATAGTGACCCCTCCTTGGGTTTCCTAGGCAGTATCACTATGGAAGTAGATTGTCCCTCGGAAGGAAGATGGGACATACTAGATTACAGCATTGGAAATCCTATGGGGCAGTTATACTCTGTCTTATAGCATCACTATGAGTCAGAATCTACTCTACAATGATAGGTTATGAGCACTTTATATAATTCTTTAGTAATTTCTGCTCTCGACATGAAGAAAATACGTACACTATTTTTCAGTGTTATCTTACAAAAGAGGGAAGAAAAAGCATGTTTAGGAAATGTGCATTCCATAAACAAATTTTAAAACTTTTATATCACTGATGCAAATGTAAACATTGAACATGTTTAAATACACCTGTGTATTCCCTAAGCCTGAATGCCACTTAATTCTCTTCAGTATCAAGACCTGCTTGAAAATGGTTTGCTGAAATAAAGATCAAGGTTACAGTGTTCCCAGAATTTAGCAGATTCAAGCAGCAAGAATGTGGAGTAGGTCAGGACTAATAGTGATTTTGCCTCCGTTGTTGTTAGGTGTCAGTCAGCTCTGATTCATAGTGACCCTATGTACAACACAACAAAACACTGCCCAGTCCTGCACCATCCTCACAATATTTGCTATGCTTGACTTTTTCACTGATGTTCCGCTTTACCAAGCATGATATCCTTCTCCAGGAAATGGTCTCTTCTACAACATGGCCAAAGTGAGAAAAGTATCTAGGGTTTCTTAATTTTAGTCCATATCAACCTTATAAATCACTAGTTCATCAGTACTTAATAGCAGCTTTCTTCAAGCAGTGGTTTTCAATTTTTGTTTGTTTTTAACATTGGGACTCAGTGTTCAAAGGGAATTGTATGTTAAAGCCACGTGTGTGTGTATCATCAACTAGTAAGTGAAACTCTGCCCAATTCTTCCAAGTCTGTAACTCAGAACTTCACCAGGCACTAAACCCTTATGGGATAAAACATTCAAAACTGATTAAAGGATCTTTCCTCCTACACTGAGGCTGCAGTGTGCTTCAGGATGGTAATGAGTAAGATTATGGGCCAACTGAATCCAACTAGATGGCAATGGGCTTGAGTGTGGCTAAGGGAAAAGCCTGAGGAAAACTTTTCATGACCTCCAGGGAACTCATGGACAGAGGCAAAGCACAAAGATTGTCAAGACTCACAGAAGTCAACCAGGCAGTGTTCAGAGCAGCTACTCTTTAA